AAAAGGGTTAATTCAGACACTGTTTTTCATTCTTTCTGCACTATTAGTTCTAATTTATGGTCATTTGCAAACGAAAGCCTTAACAGGCACATTCAGTACTAAAAAGGTTAATTTAGACAATAAATGTTATCCTTTCTGAATTAATGGTTCGAATTTAAATTAACTTGAAAGCAAAACATTTGACACAAACATTTAGTACTAAAAGGGTTAATTTAGACAATAGGTTTTATCCTTTCTGAATTAATGGTTCGAATTTAAATGAATTTGTAAGTGAAAGTTTTAAAAATACACTTAGCACGAAAATGATTAATTAAGACAATAGGTTTGATCCTTTCTGAATTAATGGTTATAATTCAGTATTGTTAGTTGCGTAAACTGTGTGGATAAAGAAACTATAAGTATTTTACAGATATTATATTTTTCGTACTTGATATAAGCAAACGATGCAGAAAAATCTTGAAGCATTAGTAAATAATATATGTAATTTTATATCAAAATAAGGTTGATAAGTATTGAAACCACGTCATTTGGTGTAAGCCTACTCTCTTCAAGTAAATGATGTATAACACATAAGCTGAGGAAGCTTGATCCGTTAATAAGAAAAACATGTAATATTACATCAAAATACGGTATGTAAGAATTGAGTTTACATAATTTTTTATTGGTCTACTACGGATTTCCAGTGAGAAGGGTGAGCATATAACAACAGTCCAATTATTCTTTATTTATTACATACTACTGACACTGACGCTTTTCCCTCAGCATCATAGCTCACCAGACCAGCTGGGTTACAGTATGCAAAATCTTAGTTCAAACATTACTTATTCAGCCCTTATTACGCGAGTAAGATATGATGTGATTTAAATTATTATCGGTTTTATGGTAAAGTAATATCACAAATATTACCAACTAACATGTTTTTCATGCTCGTGGTTTAACCTATTTTATATTAAAATTTTCTGATAAACCGAAAACGAAAGCCTTGAGAGACATATTTGGTACTAAAAGGATTAATTTAGACAATAGGTTTTATCCTTTCTGCATTAAAGGCTTTAATTTATATGCGTTTTTGAGCAAAAGTCTTAACATATACATTTAGTAATAAAAAGGTTAACTTAGACCATAAGTTTTATCCTTTCTGAATTAATGGTTCCAATCTAAATTAATTTGCAAGCAAAAACATTAACAGACACATTTATTATTAATAGAGTTAATTTATACAATAGCTTTCATTCTTTCTGCATTAATGGCTCTAATATTAATTAATTTGCACGTAAAAACCTTAACAGATACGTTTAATACTAAAAGTATTCTTTTAGTTCCATTCTTTCTACATTAATGGCTCTAATTTGCAAGAGAAAACCTTAACAGACACATTTAATATTAAACAAAAGTTTAATTTAGTCAATAGGTTTTATGCTTTCTTAATTAATGGTTCCAATTTAAATTATGTTTCAATCAAAAACCTTAAAGGACACATTTAGTACTAATAGAATTAATTTAAAGAACAGGTTTCATCCTTTCTGTATTAATAGTTTTAATTCAAATTATTCTGCAAGTGAAACCCTTAAAAGACATAGATAGTACTAAAAGGTTTAATTTACACAATAGGTTTTATCCATTATGAATTAATGGTTCCAATTAAAAGTAAGACACATTTAGTACTAAAAGGGTTCATTTAGATAATAAGTTCTTCCTTTTTGCATCAATGGCTCTAATTAAAAGTAATTTGCAAACAAAAACTTTAACATACGCATTTAGTACTCAAAGGATTCATGTAGAAAGAGTGCATGCTGATTTGTTAAGTATGTAAGTTGCTCTGTTTGCTGCAGTAGTTATTAGAGTAGTGCTCCTCTTTAATCACATGATATAACCTACTAGAATAAATTATTTTTTCGATGCACGTGGCTGGTATACATATAACTTAATACTTTAAGATATCGTATCATTAAACACTAGAGTGTTAGAGTTAATCAAACTCACAAAACCCCAGTGTTATATGTGAAAGAGTATAGTAGTGGATAAATAGACTGTTTATGTAACATATCATGTTTGATTTGGCTTATTCTTCCTCTATTACAGGTTGCTATTAAAACAATTAAAAAGTCTAAGATCGAGAGTGAAAAAGATCTGATTCGAATCCGTCGAGAGATCCAAATTATGTCTTCTATTCAACATCCACATATCATCCATATTTACGAAGGTAAGACATATATGTTTACAAAGTATCCAATAACAATGTTTTCTATCCTCTATTCACACCTTATTCACAATTTGAGTGGCAATTCAGAATTACAGATCACGCTATTCACATAACAATAGCACATAAAATCACATGTTTTGTTATTAATGAACATATTCACATAACAATAGCACATAAAATCACATGTTTTGTTATT